CGTACATTCCCAGACGTCTCACGGGCATCGTAGTCGGCATCGTGTACTGCCTGAGCAAACTTAAAGATTCAGAGAAGGCACCAAAAAGAAGAGGTTTGGACTCAGGACAAGTGTTCGACAACAGGAAGAGTCATCACCAAGGCGCGGCTCATGAGGAAAAAAGGGAAGTCACGAAAAGGCGACCGCAATGAGAGGAGTCTGACGTGGAATTGGCCAAAAATTTACCCAGGTGAAGGGACTGGTGATAGGCTTGACCAAGGGGGATACTAGCTAACACACATACACAACCTCATCCCAGTACCATAGGATTAGATGGACATGTCAACTCGATAAACGAGAGGAGTGTGTTTTTCACGATTCAAAGGAAAAAACGGAAGCGGTGCATTCTCACACCCGCGATTATGACTTGAGCCGGACACAGAGCCCCCCCCAAAGATTGACACAATGCGGGTGGGGATGAGGAAGAGGATAATTGAGTCATGGGTTTGAAGCCTAGGGAGATAAAGATTCTCAGGCATTGGCATGTGCACGTGCATGGACATGGGCATCATCTGCTCTGAATCCTCGAATATGGAGTAATCGAGGATGGCTCTTAGGCAGCCATATTTCAGACAGCAAAACAGTGATTTTGATTTTCGTTTATAAGTAGACTTTCGAGACTACCAATTTAGATTAGTAACACGGGATGTATTCACCCCATTTCGCTTAAGGTGATGAAGGACTCGTAGTAGAATTTTCTCACAAGCATATGAGTAGAGCTGACGTTTTCATTTAATTTCCCTGTCACGATTCGACTCCCGCTGGGGTTGTTGATAAGACCGATGCGAGGTCGAAACTGCAGTCCACCCTGGATGAGGCTATGTGAAATTCAATGGAAATGTCAGCTCTACTCATATGATTTTGGGAAAATTCTACGACGTGTCCTTCCTCACCTTAAACGAAATAGAGCGAATACATCTCATAGACTAAAATCTTGACCAAACTCACATGACAACCGGTGATAAGTCGTCAAATCCTGCGTCGATTGGCCGCAAAAGTGTCTGAACTCCCGGTCTGCCAAACTCACGCCGGAAATACGCTCAAGTGCACCAATTTGCCGTCTCGCCAAATCACCCATGAGGACAGTATAGGCGTCCGCAACCGGCAGCGTTGCCACAGCAACTGTCGCGAATGTCGGCTTCGAACGGTCTCTTGACCTCCTCCCGAGGTGTGTATTCCATCTTTAAGAGAAGATAATTTGCGATGTTTTGCTGGACGGCTGATTTCACCCTTTGCCCAAAGCTTTAACTACCCGATCACCTTCATGTGATAGAGGGACGCTAACAGCCGGCCAGAAGTGGGCATTAGACTGAAGATCTGGTGCCCTGCAGGCGGCAGAGACAACTCAAAGGCGACTTCTCGCCTCAGTCACCGTGACCGTACTGCGTGCCGTGTTGAGGCGCCAGATATGGTGTCACTGTGGCCTGAACAGCGGCTGCGATAGAGGCCTACCACCGAAAAGGAGCCGAGACGGGCCTAGAACTGAATAAGACTGCCGCGAGGCCAAATAGTGAATTCGCATCAAGTGATGTGCTCTCAACGTCTCGACGCCAAAGCAGCGTTCTGATTGGCTGGGCGCTTTAGAGCACAGAATACATCTGGTCTAGTTTACTGGCTGAGGCAATGCGCACAACATGCACACAATTCTCATCAACTTTCACCTGGACCTGACGAGATGTGGGCTAGCCTCTGATCGATACAGTGACCTGTCCTAATTTGAGTCCCACAGGCGAAGCGGCAGCAAATGCGGCGTGGCCAGCCGATCTCTCCAGGCGGGCATCAAAAAGAAATCAAAGTGCAAAAACGATAGACTGGAGCGCCGGATTTGCACTACATTCCGCGGCAATAGTGGCGCGGAATGTAAAACAATCTAACTTCCCCAATCGTTTTGACTTTGATTGACATTTTCTCAGGCCAGCGACTTTGGAGGAAAGCGCCATCCCAGCTTGCCCCTCCTTTATACATTCTCCAGTCAAGGTGATTACGACGTGTAAAACAGAACTCGGGCAGATATCTTCTTGACGGTGTCCATCATTCATTTCCTGCCTTTCCTTTTGAACGCATTGTATCAGGATGCATTCCCAAGAAAACACACAATCCCCGCCGTTTTCCCGTGGGCGGCGATAGTTGTATC